ATTTTTTTAAGAGCAATGCTCATGATTTTTGGCACTTCTCAATTTCCTCACTAACATATGAGCTGTATGTGTTTACACTCCTTTCAGAGTAACATTGAAGAGGTGGATCCCAGGAGCCGGACGCCTCTGCACCTGGCCGTCTCACTAGGACACTTGGAGTCAGTGAGAGTGCTGCTCAGACACGGCGCAGATGTTTCCAAAGAGAACGACAAAAATTGGACAGGTGAGAATAGAGCTTATGAATTGCACATTAGTCAACTTAGTAGGTCTTATAAGACATCAGATAGTTTTGCAGTATCGCCATGGCAATCTTTGAAGTAAATTGCATTGACCCCCACAAGAATGCCATTAGAACTATAATGACCACTTGCACATCAGTAGTTTTCCCAGCCATCTCTGGTCCGGCTTTTCCGGCATCCAGTGTTATGTATGCTCTAATGATCACCTCCTCCAAGACACGTACTGGTCATTTAGCAGATGTCTTTTTATGTGATTTACAGTGCACTATAGAATAGAAGCTAGTATGTTTACCTTTCCATTACAAGCCCATATTCTTAGATAAAGATAAATACCTAAAGGTCCAGTTAAAGCAGATGTATATGTGTGTTGTTGTCTGCACAGTGCTGCAGGAAGCAGTCAGCACAGGAGATCCAGAGATGGTGCAGCTGGTGCTCCAGCGACGAGATTACCGTAAAGCCTCCACTGCGCTGGGTGGCGTTCCAGAGTTACTGTGCAAGATCCGAGAGGTGCGTCTGTCATTTGATTTTGTGTATTATTTTGGGGAATTTTGAGCTATTATTGTATAGTATATAAAAGTTTGGGGATGGTAAGATTTTTAAAAGTAGTCACTTATGTTCACCCAGGCTGCATTTATTTGATTGAAAGTACAGTAAAGGCTGTAATATTGTGAAATATTATTACAATTTGAAATAGTTGTTTTCTATTGTAATTTGTTTTAAAATATCATTTATTTATGTGATGTCTTCAGTGTCACATGATCCTTCAGAAATCATTCTAAT